ACCATGTTGACCAGGATGTCTCGATCTCTTGACCTTGTGATCCACCCGCCTCGGCCTCCCAAAGTGCTGGGATTATAGGCATGAGCCACCGCGCCCGGCCAAGATGTTGGATTCTTTATAATTCCTTCCAGATACATCCTGACTGCATGTATCACTCAGGATAGTAGGAGGGGGTTCTGTAAAGAAAACAGAAACCCCTGCGACTTTCTTAAGGATACAAGAAATTAAGTGCTTACAAAATCCTTCAGAAAGTCTAGAGGAGCTAGCTCTGGGTTGAAACTCCAATAATTACCACCAGAACATAGTAAAAGCGCTCCAACAGGGAAGCTGCTACCTCTGCCACCATCAGGGAGGGTGAAGCACCTGAAAGTTTCCATTAACAGGGTTTAAGAATAAGTGGCTGCAGGTGTGATCCAGAGAGCTGGCAGATGTATCAGGACATTGCCACTGCTACACTCTGATGCAACCACTTATCAATATTTGCAAAGCTAGAGACCTCAGTATCACTGCTATAGAAATATGTCACATCTCTACAACCTTGCTTGCCAGGACAAACAGTCAAAGTAGCAGGGTGATAGCCTTTCTCTCACTTCTGCATCCTATTATATATATTTTTTGAGACAGGGCCTCACTCACTCTGTCATCCAGGCTGGAGTGCAATGGCACAAACACAGCTCACTACAGCTTTGAACTCCTGGCCTCAAGTGATACTCCCACCTCAGCCTTCCAAGTAGTTGGGACTACAGACATGTACTACCATGCTGGCTAATTAACAAAATTATTTTTTTTTTTTGGTAGATATGGGGTCTCACTGTGTTGCTTAGGCTGGTTTCAAATTCCTGGGCTCAAGCAACCATCCTGCCTCAGCCTCCCAAAGTACTAGAATTACACATATGAGCCCAGCCTCACTTCTGCATTCAAAATCTCACCCAAGTACATGTGATCATCTGCAGGGAATTCTGAGACATATAATCCTTAGTTTTTTAGTCTCTTCAGGAAAGTATGCTAAAAGGAGATGGAAATAGATGCTGAATGCTAACCAATCATATCCACCACATTCCTTGTCTGAAAATCCACCCAACTGTCTTATCATCTACTACTGAATCTCTTCCTCTACACTTACATCCCTTGCTCAGTACCTGCCCCTGTGGCTGGTTTAGTCTCTGATTCTTGCCCTTAGTGAGCTCCTTCAGGTTACAGTTTAATCTTTTCTGCAACTTGGGTTAGGCAAAATGTCTTAGCTATGATTCCAAAAGCACAATCCATAAAAGAGCAATTGATATATTGGACTCCATCAGAATTAAAAGTTAATGCTCTTTGAAAAGTACTGTTAGGAGAACAAAAAACAAACCACAAGCTAGGAGCTGGGAGGAAATATTGCAAATCACCATCTCACAAAGGATTTATATCCAGAGTATATAATGAACTCTCAAAACTTGGCTGGGTGCAATGGCTCACACCTGTAATCCCAGCACTTTAGGCTAAGGCAGGTGAATCACTTGAGGTCAGGAGTTCGAGACCAGCCTGGCCAACATGGTGAAACCCTGACTCTACTAAATAATACAAAAATTAGCTGGGAGTGGTGGTGCACGCCGGTAATCCCAGCTACTCGGGAGACTGAGGCAGAAGAATCACCTGAACCCCGGAAGTGGAGGTTGCAATGAGCTGAGATTGCGGCAGTGCACTCCAATCTGGGTGACAGAGTGAGACTCCAACTCAAGAAAAAGAAAAATAAAAGAAAGAAAGCAAACACCTAACACAATGGCAGCAGGTATTAATCAGCCTCTGGAAAAAAAAAGAAAGGAAAGAAAGGAAAGGAAAAGGAAGGAAGAAGGAAGGAAGGAAGGAAGGAAGGAAGGAAGGAAGGAAGGAAGGAAGGAAGGAAGGAAGGAAGGAAGGAAGGAGGGAAGGAAAGAAGGAAACAGCTCAGTTAAAATAGATATTGGCATGGATCTGGTAAAATGAAAACACTTTTACACTGTTGGTCGAATACAACCACTATGGAAAACAGTGTGGAGAATCCTTAAAGAGCTAAAAGTAGATCTATCATCTGATCCAGCAAATGCACTCCTGGGTGTCTACCCAGATGAAAAGAAGGCATTATATGAAAAAGGTACTTGCACAGGCATGTTTATGGCAGCATAATTTGCAATTTCAAAAATATGGAACCAGCCCAAATGTCCATCGATCAATGAGTGGAAAAGAAAATGTGGTGTATATATATATATACCATGGGATACTACTCAGTCACAAAAAGGAACTCAATAATGGCATTTGCAGCAACCTGGATGGAATTGAAGACCATTATTCTAAGTGAAGTAACTCAGGAATGGAAAACCAAACATTGTTATGTTCTCACTCATAAGTAGGAGCTAAGCTTTGAGGACACAAAGGCGGAAGAATGATACAATGGGTACAGCCGTACAGCGCTTGGATGATGTGTGCACCAAAATCTCCAAAATCACTGCTTAAAGAACTTACTCATGTAACCAAATACCACCTGTTTCCCCAAAATCTATTAAAATTAAAAATAAATAAAAATTTTAAAAAAGAGAGAACACTGTTTCAATATCTATACTACTCCCAAACTTGGTGGCATAAAACGATAACCATTTTATTTGGCTCATAGATTCTATGTGACAGGAATTTGGACTGGGCACAGCAGGGTGTCAGCTGGAAAGACTCAAATGACTAGACTCATCTGGAGTCTCTCCTTCATTCACATGTGTAGCATCTGAGCTAGGATGACTCAAAAGCTGGGCTTAGTTGAGACTGTAGATCACAGCACCTAAAGATGGCCTCTTCAAGTGGCTTGGGCTCACAGGTGGTGGCTGGGTTCTAAGAGGAAGTATCCCAAAAGCAAGTCTGAATAGCTTTTCATGACACAACCATGGAGGTTATGCTGCATCACTTATTCTGTAGTCTGTTCATTGAAACAGCCACAGGTTGCCCACATTTAAGGGGAGAGGATATAGTCTCAACTTCTTGATGAAATCTAAAAGATCATGTTTAAAAAACTGAAGATCATGTTTAAAAAAACATCTCAAATGTGGCTTCTAATTCTACTGCTGAGAGAGTAACAGGGAGTGGGAACAACTGATGTACAGCATTTTGTATGCAGAGTCAAAAGATGTTTATCATCTTTAGAACATTGTTTAGAAATTTTCTCTACTAATTTGTGATGATTAGTAAACGTTTATCAGTGTAAACAAAACTCATAGAATGACAACAACAAAAAAAACTACCTCAAACAATTTTAATTTCTGGAAATATGCTTTCCCCCATTTAGGGGAATCATTAGCCTTCCAAGTCTTTTACTTTTTCCATCTGATAGAAGCATGGGTATGAAAAATTGCAGCTGATGGCAACTCCATCCTTCTACGTGCTCAAGTAGTGGCTGTAAATATGTCCTTAAGTTCTTTGATAGCCTAAAAGGTGTAGTCTAATTTCCTTCCCTTTCAAGGTAGACAAAACTCAGTAATGGAAACAGGAACACACTTACAGTGTGTGGATCCCAAGGCGAAAAAATTTTTATGAGATCTATATAAATGATTTAAAATGTATTACATTCTTAGATATGACACATAAAGCTCAAGCAACACAGATCTGATCAAGTAACCAAAGAAAATGGATACATTGAATTTCATCAACATTAAAAATGTTACTGCTTTAAAGAATCATTAAGAAGGATTTAAAAACATGTAGGCCAGGTGCGGCGGCTCACACCTGTAATCCCAACACTTTGGGAAGCCAAGGCGGGTGGATCACGAGGTCAGGAGTTTGAGACCAGCCTGACCAACATGGTGAAACCCCGTCTCTACTACAAATACAAAAATTAGGGGGGATGGTGGTGCACACCTGTAATCCCAGCTACTCAGGAGTCTGAGGGCAGGAGAATCACTTGAACCCGGGAGGCAGCAGAGGTTGCAGACAGTAAATTAGTTAATTGTTGGGGTCACAGAGGAAGAGAGAAATTAACCCTGCTCATGAGTGGAGATTTTTTTGGAGGGTAATAAAAATGTTTTGGGGCTGGACATGGTGGCTCATGCCTGTAATCCCAGAACTTTGGGAGATTAAGGCAGGACTGACTGAGCCCAGGAGTTGGAGATCAGCCTAGGCAACATAGTGAGACAATGTCTCTACAAAATTTATTTATTTTTGAGATGGAGTTTCGCTCGTTACTCAGGCTGGAGTGCAATGGCACGATCTCAGCTCACCGCAACCTCCACCTCCTGGGTTCAGGCAGTTCTCCTGCCTCAGCCTCCTGAGTAGCTGGGAGGCATGAGCCACCACGCCCAGCAAATTTTTTGTATTTTTAGTAGAGACAGTGTTTCACCATGTTGACCAGGATGGTCTCGATCTTTTGACCTCTTGATCCACCCACCTCAGCCTCCCAAAGTGCTGGGATTACAGGCTTGAGCCACCACACTCAGCCAAAAATTTAATTTTTTAAAATTAGCCAGGTGTGGTGGTACACACCTGTAGTCCCAGCTACTTGGGAGGCTGAGGTGGGATGATGGCTTGAGCCCAGGATGTCAAGGTTGCAGTATGCCATGATTCTGCCATTGTACTCTAACCTGGGCAACAGAGTGAGCGAGTCCCAGTCTCAATAAGAACAAAAATATTTTAATGTAAAAAAAAATTTTTGCAGAATGAGTGCATATCATTTGCCTTTTTTCCAATTATGCATCCTTAAATTCCAAAGCTTGGCTGCACATCTGAAACAACTGCACCTACCACTACCACAAACAACCTACAGCGAAGGTGGCAGGGGGGACAGAGAGGACTGGATAAAGAACTGGCGTCTACATATTTGACAGAGAAAATTCTCAACATCTGTGGCATGTAGGGGCTACAGAGTGGGAGGTGTAAGTGGGGGACTTTGTTTTTATCCCTAGGGCACAAACAATTGTGTTCCACTCCCAGCCCCCACTAGCAAACCAGGTAGTATCACAAGCTCCATGACCAGCAGTACCCTTGAATTTAACACAAAGACCAGGAAAGGTTAACGAATTTTATTTTTTACAAATTAAGACTATGTAGATTTCATATATTTCTGAATCAAAAACACCTTTGTCTTCACAGTATGAGTTAGAATGCAGCCTGAGCTGAAAATTAAGGAACTAGAAAAGAAAGTGGTAATTAGAGATAACTGTATTTTAAAAATCTGTTAGGCATTTTTTTTTAAAAGTAGTTTTTTTTTTCAAATATCTTGTCATTCTTGGCACTGTTTCTAAAGAACTCCATTAGTCCAAGCAATAAAAGCACAGAAGTAGAGTTTGGCTTCAAGAGATGTAACTCAAATTCTTGGGCCTGGCAGAGAATCACCAAATTTATGGAGAGGTGCTAACAGGGGTTTAATAGGAAGAAAGTCCCTTTATTAAGTTATCAAGCCAGAGGCTGGAGGCAGCAGCTAAATCAGAACAGCATCCTCAGTGAAAGTGAGCCATTCTGGGTGGCATGCCACTCCAGGAATAAACACAACTTGGAAACAAATGGTTTCATAGGATAGCACAGTGACATGGTGCACTGTGAACCCACAGCCACTGTGTCAAACTGTGCACTGGTTGTGAATAAGGACAGCCAAAAATTATGTCCTACTGGTAATGAGCTTTCAAAGGCTCGATCCTCTCACACTGTAGCCCTGTAGAGCAGCTCAGAGAAACAATCACGCCCCACACTGGCCCCTCTGTGGGCAGCTGTTTGTGGCAGCCCACAGGGAAGGAGCTGGAGATCGCCATTAGAACTGTCCACCCACACTTGGAAGCCAAAAGCTGCAGGGATTGGGGCTCTCACTGGTTTGGTCACCGAACTCCTGCCTAAAAGGCCACAAATTTCCGGAAAATAGGTAACAGACCAAAAACTAAAGTGCATCAGTAAAGTGAACATTTATCTACTGCTCCGAATCTCTGGCTTGACTTCACCAATTGGTATTCTAGTTCGGGATAGACTAAAATGCACTGAAGGACTATTAGGATTGCTGCCTCCTACGTTATCACAGCCCCGTTCAACAAGGAACCGCTTGGTTAGTAAAGATTTTGCTCCCCGCTGCCCCAAACAGGTCTGGCAGGATTGGTTACAATGAGCTTCAGAGGTTCAACCATTCCCTTTCCCTATCCTTGCTCTCTTGGGACACTTAATCATAGCTACCTAGTAGAGAACATTCGGTAAGGGGATAACCAACTAAAAAAACAAAAACAGGGCAAGTTTAGGGGAATCCTACGATGGTGTACCTTGAGATATATAATCAGCCTTTTGAAAAATGCCTGACAAGAATTAGTCTTCCCTTTGTGCTGCTGGTCTTCCCCACCCATGGATGGAAGCAGGCTGACTGGCTGAGGGTCAGGCAAGGGGTGGGAGAGGAAACACACAAAAATCCACATTACTTTTGTGAAGGCAAAGCAGAAAGGTATGTTTGCCAGACCAGCGTGGGCAGCTCAGAAAAAGCAAAGCATCCACCAGAAGAGGCTCTCCATTTTCTTTGTAGGGCCTGACAGTTCAGATATAACAAGGCTGAGTTAACAATGGGACAGTGAACTTCTTTCCAATGGAAAACTCATGGCCCAGTCCCATAGGAACTGTGTGCATACCTAACAATGATAAGGAAGGAAGGGCCGGGTGGCTATACCAAACAGTCAGGTCCACTGGTGGGAAAGTGGACTCCTGAAGTTAGCGTCTTCTGCTAGTCCCAACTCCTCATCACAGCGAGTTGGCTGCCTGAGCAGAGGAAGAGGCTATGGATGGGGCTAACAAAAAAGGGAGCGAGGAGAACCCCAGGAAGACGAAGCCAAACTCCAAACTATATTCTGCTAATCAGTTTTTTGATCAAAAAATTCAAAATAGAGGAAACCACAAAGTACAAAAGCTTTTCTGATGCTTTTCATTATCACAGAACACACCACCTGTAATGTGTGCGAAAAGGAAATGAGGGGTGGAAGGAGAGTAAGTCAAATTCAGGAAAGGCTGGATGGTCACTTCATTTCTTCTCTTTCTTCTTATCCTAGAAATGGAGAAAAATCACCCAATTAATTTTTGACATTTGACATTCAAGCTAAAACTCTTGAGTGAGCATTTAGTTTGGGTCAGAAGGGAGGCAGACAATTAAAAAGGAATGAGAAATGCTTCCTTAGCTCAGCAAGAACTGAATCTTAACCACGTCCTACTGGTGGTTCCCAAAGTTGCCAACAGACCTACCGAGAATAAAGGTTAAGCAGCTGTCCCCACCCCCACCACAGGAGTGCCTAGGTGGGCTGCCTGACCACTCAAGGCTATTCACAGTCACCACAGCTCAGATCCCAATGGTGAAGGCTGCAGATGGCACTCTATCCTAGAAGAGTGAAACTAGAGGCCAAGACCACCAAGCATCCATTAGGCCCAGGAAGTACTCCACTCTGCAAGGTGAGCATGAGTCTTTGGCATGAACTGACATTCAGAAATAATTTGGTCCAGCAGAATTCTTCATTCAGTCTTGGGTGAAAGCTCAATGTATTAAGGAATAAAAATTGAGTTGCTTGGTGCTCAGCCCAACTATGGCACGGCCTAGACAGAGACAGCAATCCTATCTGGTCAGCTGCTCCCACTACCATTGTACTGTCTCTAGTTCCGTAATACAAGGTCTGCCAAAAACAGCTCGTTTGTTCCCCACTGCTGGACTACACTATATTTGATACCCATTAGCCCTATATACAATGCTTCCTTGGAAAAAAAATTAAGACTAACAAATGGATTAAATTAGTCTACTTCTGAAATTTACAAATGTCCTCCATAGTACCTTTCTCTGAGTCACAATTATATAGCCTTTAAATTCTTCATATAGTAGGTTATGTTTACTGCCACTGAAGCGCTTTTCCCTTTGATACTAAGCTCAGGGATTAGTTTAAAAAAAAAATTTTTTTTTTTTTACTTGTTGCTTTTTCTCTAACAATTGAAGACTTGTGATTTACCTCTTACTCGGTGGCCTGCCTTACAGTTATGCTGGACCTACACAGTGTGCGAGCACATGCCAAGCCAAGGAGCCATCATTCTCTCATCTTTGGGTTGTAGGCTAACTAACCTTTTCGTTCAGGGCCAGGATCATCATGAGTTTTCTGAAGAGAGTAATGAAATCTAAGAAGAGATCAATGCAGTGCCTGAAACGCAAGAACCAGATTAGGATCTGTACTTCAGACTTTCTTTTATCCACAAGCACACAAAGATGCAGAATATAAACCCCACCTCCATCCCCACAAGCCAGCTTCTCCCACACTTTACCCCCAACTAAAGAAGTAAAACTCTGGTGTCTGAGATACTTTTAGACTCATCTAAATCCTGTAGCATACAGAAAAGAGACTGGGCCGGGTACGGTAGCTCACACGTGTAATCTCAACATTTTTGGAGGCCGAGGCAGGTGGATTACTTGAGCCCAGGAGTTTTGAGACCAACCTGGGTAACACAGCAAGACCCATCTCTATAAAAAATACAAAAATTAGCAGGGCATGGTGGCATGCGCCTATAATCCCAGCTACTTAGGAGGCTGAAGTGGGAGGAACACCTGAGCCTGGGGAGGTTGAGTCTGCAGTAAGCCATGACAGTGCCACTTGCCTACTGCAGCCTGAGTCACAGAGCAAGCCCTGTCTCAAGGGCTTTGAACTCTGCAGAGGTCCATCTGTGAACCCTGAACTACCATTAATTAGTCATGAGACTTTGAGAGAATCACAACATTTAAAGAAATGTGGGCTGGGCGTGGTGGCCCATGCCTGTAATCCCACCATTTTCAGAGGCCAAGGAAGGCATTTTGCTTGAGGCCAGGAGTTCGAGACCATGGCCTCACAGGGCAACAAGGTGAAAACAAGAAACGTCTCCACTAAAATTACAAATATTAGTTAGACATGGTGGTGAGCACCTGTAATCCCAGCAAGTAGGGAGGCTGAGGCATGAGAATCACTTGAACCCAGGAGGCAGAGGTTGCAGTTGCAGTGAGCCAAGATCACCACTGCACTCCAGCCTGGAAGACAGAGCAAGAATCTGTCTCAAAAAAAAAAGGTGGCTGGGCGTGTTGGCTCAAGCCTGTAATCCCAACACTTCAGGAGACCAAGGCAGGAGGATTGCTTCAGACTAATCTGGGCAATACAGTAAGACCCCATCTCTATTAAAAAAATAAATTAGCCCACATGGTTATGTGTGCCTGTTGTCCCAGCTACTCAAGAGGCTGAGGCAGGAGGATTGTTTGAGCACAGGAAATTCAGGCTGCAGCAAGCGTGTTCATGGCACCACACTGCCTGGGCAACAAAGCAAGACCCTGTCTCTAAATAAGAGTGTATCTTCTACTCATTGTTTAACGTTTAAAGAATACAGAAATATAAAGAGAAAAAGGAGAACCATCTCTTTCCTGTTCCTCTGCCTGGAGATAGCCACTAAAGATATGTAAATATATTAGCCCCCTTCCCCCTCCTTTTTCTGAGACAGGGTCTTGCTGTTACCCAAGCTGGAGTGCAGTGGCACAATCTTCGCTCACTTCAACATCTGCCTCCTATGTTCAAATGATTCTCGTGCCTCAGCCTCCTGAGTAGCTGGGATTACATACATGTGCCACCATGCCCAGTTACTTTTTTTGTATTTTTAATAGAGATGAGATTTCACCAAGTTGCCTAGGCTGATCTCAAACTTCTGAGCTCAAGGGATCTGCCTGCCTCAGGCTCCCAAAGTGCTGGGATTACAGGTATGAGCCACCACACCTGGCCTATCAGCCCAGATTTTTAAAAAATTTGAAGTCTTTAGGAATTGAGGAAGATTATGGGACACAGTTCCAAAAACCATAGGTTTCCTACCACATACACCCCCAAAGCTTGGACACCTATGTTCAGCCAATAACAAACTAAGTTTAGCTGTGGAATGGAAAAATGTGCCTCAACCTTCATGCTTGTTAAAGACTAGTTCCCACACTTACCAGATATAATCTTGATCTCCATTTTCAGCCTTTTCAATAATGAGTTGAGTATCAAAAAGGACAAAGCCACACATGACCACCAGTCCCACATATAGGTTTGCCTAACAAAAGAATGAGATGAAGTTACTATATAGCAGAAAGTTGTAGATTAAAAAAAAAAAACAGCCATACTTTCTGGCTCATGGTCACTTGAAAGTACATCAAATGTTAACCCTATGAACATTACCATTCATGAGAACAGCAGCCTAGGGTGAAGAACCACATTACTTCCCTAGTCACAATGCTGCACTGGTCACTGGAAGAGTTTCAATCATTTTAACAATTAGCCACTGTTGGAATGGCCTTATACAAATGGTCTCTGAGCAAACCATTTTCTCTTAGCAATGCCCAACCTTATGCAGCCTGTGTGGCAGAAGGCTCCATCCTATGAAGGTGAATGGCAAGGCTTAGAAAGTCCTATGCAAAGTCTTACTTGGAAAAGCCAAATGGATCCAAAGAAAACATTCCCCAGGGAAGACAAAAGCAATAGGCTCAGGGCTGACATCAAGATACCTGTAAGACACAGCAAAAAGCTTTCTTGAGAGAAGCAAAGTAAAGCAATCCCATTAAAGCCATTTCTTAACTTTTCCCAGAATGAAGGTTTTTAATCTCAATTCGATAGTCACAAAGGAGTTAGGGGTGAGGAAGGAGTGCTAGTGAGAATTCTGGCTAAAGAGAAGCCTCATTCCATGTTTCCCAGTTCACACTTACCTCCCAGAAAGAGGTAGCTACGACGCTTGGCATAGAGTGCACTCAGGGTAAAGCAGGTGAAGATCATTGCTGTGCCCATGAAAGCGGTGGGAAGGATACTGTTAGAGGAAAAAGACCATTAGATTAATGGTATACAGATATCTCGTCTATCTGTATATAGATATACAGCCTACATTTAGAAGGTATATTCATAAAGATAAAAGAACATAAAACACTACCAAAAGAGTTACCTGGGGTTGATGGCAATGCAAAACTCCAGGGCAGGGCCCAGGCCAACTCCTAGAAAACAAAAAACCCAGAACACAGTATTACCATCAATTCTTGAATAGGATCCTCATACAAAAGCTGATCCCAAAGTATAGGCATACTCATGCTCTTAACAAACGTGGCCTAAGAATTAAATCTCTCTCCCCTCCTCCATTAATTGTTTTCAATAAAATGTATACTTGACTGCATTTTTCTTTTTAGATGTAGCTGCAAAACTGTCATCATAGCTGAAAATCATGGATGACCCCAGGGAGGGAACAGAAATTAGAAGAAAATAAAACAGGCATGTCAAACATTTCAGAGCTAGAGTGATGTGAGATAGTGATATAGGCGAGATCGGGAATTGAACAGAAAAAAAGGACAAGGAGCAAAACACTGCCTCGTGGCCGGCAACCTTGTAGTCATGCAGGACTGACTCCCCTTTGTAGCAAAGAAAAGCCAGACTGATTCTGCAGGTGGACACCCGCCAACGGGAGGGCAACCAACCTGTTCCAGCTCTAACATTTCTTTCATTCTAGTTACTTTCCTCTTTCCTTCTGATAATTCCAGCCCTTAATGCCTTCAAAAACTAGCTTGCCCTGACCCAAAAATCTTAATCCCTACATCTCCTTTCTAAAATTTCTCCAACACTATATAGATTAGATTGTCACTCAGAACAAGCTGTTCTAATTCAAATGTTGTTTTGCAAATATTTTTATTATATAGCTTGAGTCTTGTTTTCTTTATGACAATTCTAGAAGAGCTGTGCTTTTAATTCTTTTCTTGAGAATCAGCAAAGTGTCCACAATGGATCTCAATGTATAGTTCTAATGCACTGTCTGTAAGACTCAGAACAGAAGCTCCTATGATAGTTGCCACTGTGGGTCCAACTAAGTCAGATTTTCAGGTCTCATTTATTAATAGTTCATGTCTACTATTAACATGTTACCTAAGCTCTTAAACCTCATTTGTTCAAGTACACAATGCCTTTTTTTTTTGGACACAAAAATATAGTCACAATGGCTACTCAGAAAGAGTTTTCCCTATGGATGGGGAAACAAGATTAACCTATGTGAAATTAGAAAGCAGGCCAGGAGGCCAGGCACGATGGCTTACACCTGTAAATCCCACCATTTTGGGAGGCCGAGGAGAGTGGATCAGGAGGTCAAGAGCTGGAGACCAACCTGGCAAACATGGTGAAACCCCGTCTCTACTAAAAATACACAACTTAGCCGGGCATGGTGGTGCATGCCTGTAATCCCAGCTACTCAAGAGGCTGAGGCAGGAGAATCACTTGAACCTGGGAGGTGGAGGTTGCAGTGAGCCGAGATCGTGCCACTGCACTCTCTAGCGTGGGTGACAGAGTGAGACGCTGTCTCGAAAATAAGAAGGAAAAAAAAGGGCTAAATAAGAGATACTGAAAATATAGTTTACCCCCTCAAAATTAGACAAATTCCTAATGTACCTGTAAGGAAAGCAAATCCAGCAAGAAGTCCCAGTCTTTTTTGCTCAGTTTCATGGCTGTGAGGTGTTGCCATCAGCCAAATCATCAATATCAGGGAGCCCAAAGCAGACAGCAGGCCAGCCTGTCAGAGTCATAATCAGTCAATTATTAAACACTTGAAAGTTTCAAATTTATTTTGCAAGTGACCTTGATTGGGTTCAAATACTCATCTGAACTTCCTAACATTTGCTTTTAACTTGGAGGCAGGGGAAAAAGTAGTGTTTTCTCAGGGGTGGGGCTGAGGAGAGAACCCAGAAGGCCTGAAGCATAGTCAGGACCATGGTGGACGCTGGAGGTTCTTCTGTCTTTGGTAGTTCTTCAACTACAGTACAACTACGCAAGTCAAACTATTAGTGAGTCTTTCCCCAAAAAACAGAAAAGATGAAATCAATGAAAACAAGTGCGTGAAGCACATTCCATCTGTAGAACAAATAGAAATGATCCCTTTTTGATCACTTAAAACAAACAAAAAACCCAAAAACCCCAAACACCAAGATGCATATATATAAAGAAGACTGTAAAGTAGCCAAAGTTTTAAGTAGTTATTTCTGGAAGCTGAGATTATGGAATTTTTTTTTAAATTTTAAATTGAGATGGGATTTCACCATGTTGGCCAGACTGGTCTCGAACTTCTGACCTCAGGTGATCCGCCCACCTCGGCCTCCCAACGTGCTGGGATTACAGGACAGGCGTGAGCCACCGTGCCGAGCCGAGATTAAGGAATTTTTAAAAATACTTCCTTCTCATTGCTAGTCTGTTTTCTGAATTTTCTAAAATGAACAAATATTAGCTTTGTAGTAAGTTTTTTTTTTTTTAAACGCAAGTGGGAAAAGCTACAGGCATTAGAAAAGAGAAATCATTAAGGATGAATGTAGACACTGGAGTTCCATCCTCCGTTTAAAGGAAGAAGCTGATTCTCATTTACAGTGTTTATGTTATAAAGTCACAGTGGACAATAAATTAGTATGCCCCTTGTTCCTGGGGGAAATACAAGGTAGGTAGGTTCTGCAAGCCTATGGTTACAATATTTTCATCAAATGATCAATAGATATTTTGTTTTATGTGTGTTTCCACTTAAGGACACCTCATTTGACATTATTTTTGATTCATTAACATTGAACTTGCAGTCACAACAGCAGTATAACTCATGCTGGAATGAAGCTTATCTAATATTTTCTTCATAAGGCACGTTACAGTCTTTCTGCTCTTAGGAATACTAGACAGCACTTCAGCACTATGCTGTCTGCATTCTGAACAGCAAAATTAAACGAAGCATGGTGGCATGCACTTGTAATTCCAGCTACTTGGGAAGTTGAGGTGGGAGGATCCCTTGAGCCCAGGAGTTTGAGACCAGCTAGGACCACACAGGAAGACCCCCACTCAAAGAAACCAGCAAAATTACCAATAAAAAGCACAAAAATGCAAAGAAAGTGGCACTAAATGACCATGAAAAGAACATTTGTTTACAATATGAGAATTGAAACAAGACGGCAGACCACTGCCGTGTTCGACCTCAGCTGACAACACTGCACAGCAGGGTGACTCAACTTTTTCACCACTCTGTGCATGCCTGCAATAAGTGCCATGAGTATTTATTTTGGGGTTACAAATTTTAACGAGTAGGTAAATTCACAAATATGTTATCTGTGAATAACAAGGATTGATTTGTATTTTACTACGTTACTTAAGGGCTAACCTTGCCTAAAACTCAAGTGATCAAAGCCCTAGCCTTTGAGTGTCTAGATAATTTTTCACACAATCCCTGCTGGAAGATGCCTGAACATAAGGATAGCTCTCAGCAGTGGCAAATGCCAACAGAGGCCCACCTCTACATTTATGCTAAAAAGGATACTCCACAAAGGAACAGGACTATGTTAGTGAGTCTTCACACTTTCTGGTTATTCCTCAAACTGTACCTTCTACTCCTACTGACCAAACCCAAATTCTCCCTCAACATAGGAAAAACAAATTGTTGAAGGTTTTTACCCAACAATGCAGACAACAGTTATCAGAAAATAAAATGGGTCAATTTCTTAAAGGTCTCAATCTTGCCTCTCTTGATAATTAATCATACAATCAGTGTTTTGTAAGGAAGAATGGAGGAAAAGATAAAAAGGCTTCTGTGCAGAAGAATCCCAGCATGCATGTCATGTGTCTACTCAGTGGATGGGAGTCCTGTAGGTCAGAAGCACATCATTCAATGCCAACGGTTAAGACACTCTGTTTTTAGTATCTAGGGGGGGGACAGTTGCCAGAAAATTAAAATGGCTTTACATGTCCTGATTTAATGGCTGAGTTTAAATCCTAAACTACTGATAAAGATTAAAGAGAGGAACAGGGTCCTTGGACCACCTCGCTGAGCTGGTTTTTTCCTAACACAATTTGTACCACAGCAACCAGGAGAGAAAACTATTCTTACCTGAATGAAATGAGTGATCACATGGACATAGGCCCCCGCAGCCGCCACAAACATACAAAGGGCAAAACTTGCGTAGACCTTCTTCAGGTGCTGCTGTGTTGAGGGGGTTCTAAGAAAAGAATGTGAATAAGAGAAATCACTCTCACACCAATCTCATCTTTAAGCTAAGAAGAATCATTTCTCTCTCTTTCCCTTCCTGGGAATATGTAAAAGTTCTGTTACAAATAGTTTAAAATACTTTCAAGAAAGCATAAAATAATAAAAAAGATTATTATTATTTTTTTTTTTGAGACAGAGTTTCGCTCTTGTTACCGAGGCTGGAGTGCAATGGCGCAACCTTGGCTCACCGCAACCTCCGCCTCCTGGGTTCAGGCAATTCTCCCGCCTCAGCCTCCCGAGCAGCTGGGATCACAGACACGCACCACCATGCCCAGCTAATTTTTTGTATTTTTAGTAGAGACAGGGTTTCACCATGTTGGCCAGGATGGTCTTGATCTCTTGACCTCGTGATCTGCCTGCCTCGGTCTCCCAAAGTGCTGGGATTATAGGCTTGAGCCAACCGTGCCTGGCCAAAAAAGATTGTTTTTAAAATAGGTTAACAGAGCCAGGTGCGGTGGCTTATGTACTGTAACCCCAGCACTTTGGGAGGCTGAAGTGGGCGGATCACCTGAGGTCGGGAGTACGAGACTAGCTTGACCAACATGGAGAAACCCCCATCTCTACTAAAAATACAAAATTAGGTGAGCATGGTGGCACGTGGCACATGCCTGTAATCCCAGCTACACGAGAGGTTGAGTCAGGAAAATTCCTTGAACCTGGGAGGCGGAGGTTGCAGTGAGCCGAGATTACACTCCAGACTGGGCAACAAGAGTAAAAACTCCATCTAAATACAAAAAAAAAAAAAAAGAAGAAAAAAATAGGTTAACAGAATTTTAACTGTTGAGTAAGACCAAAAGCCCAACATTATAAATACTCAGTAACGAAGCTAGAATAAATGCCTTTCCAGTAACCACACAGCAACCTTTAGAATCTGGACATTTTCATCAGGGTCTCTGGATTCCGGCCCAGTTAATTTGTTAGCTTATATATACAAAAGTTATAAACGAGGAAAAGGGAAAAAGAGATATGAAAAGAAATGCAATACAAAACCAGTGAAGATCAAAACACTTACATATGAGAAAATTTTAAAAGCGCATCAAAGTTGATCTTTCGATCAAATATGTTCATGGTTCCAGAGTCTGTGCAACACAGCCTCCACTCTGTAGAATAAAGAAAGGTTAGAGTCACTAAGTCACACAATATCACACAAACAGCTTATTTTCTTTAAAAAAGCAACACATAAGTTCAGAAAAATAAAAACTAGCCTAAAGTTCCACAGCCCTAACACAAGCATTTTTATGTTTTCTTCTACATTATATTTGCTATCATAGTCAACCATTTTAAAGAGGACAGAGGAAATGAACCCATCTTCTTCCCTGAACTATTTTGTTACTACCATTTGATTTCTATTCTTTCAGAAGGTAATCTGCACTTTTAAAAGACAGTTAGTTTGTAAGAGAAACCCTCAATTAACAATCTAGTTAATGAGACCTAGACACCGGCACATAAAACAATTTTATGTCATTGTTTCGAAATGCTGAAGAATCCCCTTGGCCGGGCACAGTGGCTCATGCCTGTAATCCCAGCACTCTGGGAGGCCGAGGCTGGCAGATCACCGGAGCTCAGGGGTTCAACACCAGCCTGGCCAACATGGTGAAATCGTGTCTCTACTAAAAACACAAAAATTAGCCGGGCATGCTAGTGTGCTCCTATAATCCCAGCTACTTGGGAGGCTGAGAAAGGAGAATTACTTGAACCTGGGAGGTGGAGGCTGAAGTGTGCCGAGACTGTCCCACTGCACTCCAGCCTGGGAGACAGAATGACTGTCTCAGAAAAAAAAAAAAAGAATTCCCTCACTAGCGGCACCTCAAGGATAAAAAATAAAACGTTGACTAGTCCTAACAAAACAAAAACTATAAAGCTGGGTCTGGCACTAAGACTTGCATTTTAAATATATGCATATCAAAATTTCCCACCTAATACATTTTAGAACTGAACTGAAAAGAATCCACAATTTAAAAAAGAGAGGTTCCTACCTCCATAAAAAAGAAATTTATGCAGAAAGGAGGATTGGGGGGGATATTTTTTAACAGTTTCAGAACCTTAGAAAAGTTGGAACAGTACAAAGAATTCACCCAGATTTCCTAAATGCTAATATTTCACCACATTTGCTTCATCTTCTCTCTATATAGCAATATACAGAGACGTAAAAATATTTTTTCCCTAACCACACAGACACAGTGCTCCTAAATATTTCAGTGTGTATTACCTGAAAGCAATGATCAAAATCAGGATATTAATACAGATACAATACTGTTTCTAATCTACAGACTTTATTTAGATTTTTGCCAACTGTCCCAATATCAAAAAGGGCATTTAAAAATTTTTTTTTTGAGACGAAGTTTCGCTCTTGTTACCCGGGCTGGAGTGTAATGGCGCGATCTCGGGTCACCACAACCTCCGCCTCCTGGATTCAGGCAATTCTCCTGCCTCAGCCTCCTGAGTAGCTGGGATTACAGGCACGAACCACCATGCCCAGCTAATTTTTTGTATTTTTAGTAGAGACAGGGTTTCACCATATTGACCACAATGGTCTTGATCTCTTGACCTCGTGATCCACCCGCCTCAGCCTCCCAAAGTGCTGGGATTACAGGTTTGAGCCACCGCGCCCGGCCAAAAAGGGCATTTTTAAATTGAACTATATCCAGGTTAGATCATATCAATACCATAAAATCAAGTTCTTAAGTTTTGCTTCCTCCCCAATTTCACATGCAATCCTAAATAAACATATTCAGTCTATAGTACTAAAGATCGAATCAGAACTTTTATCTTTTCTAAATATAAATCCTCCAAATTCTTATTAGGCCCATAATGCCCAACCATAAATCTACCAAAAAGAAGGGGCAGAGAGAAAGGGATTCAAACACAAAAGGTAAGTTGTATGAAAGGCCACCTACTGAATGAAGCACTCTCTAATCAGCACCCAGCACACTAACAATTAATCTAAGTAATAAAAGTTACACTCCCTAAACAAATTTCCTAAGGAATCCTGGGCCAGTGGAAAGATATAAGCATCATTTGCTTCCCGAGGCTCTCTCCCACAAATGAAACAATCATAATGGCTGGCTTGCCTTCTCTGATTTTTCCTTTCCTTCTCTCATCAACATCCCTACTCACCTCAGAACTTTTGTTAGTTCTGTTCTTAAGGATGGATACAGTGAGAAGCTGCAGAACCTACTAAGGTTGTTGTTCTCTCCTCTGAGTCACACAGATCTGGGCCCTCTTGACCTAGATGGTGCAATTATTGCAGGTTGTTGCAAGGCCAACCACAGCCTTCCATAACCAACATGAATATGAATATATCCTCTAGAGAGCATACTTACAGCATGGCAGAATCCAGCACCTGGAAAGTGTCTTTGTTTAAGGCTTCCATTAACACCCCTAATGACATCCCTAGACAGCACTTGCAACAATACTGAAGCAACCTTCAGAGCCACGTTTCTCAGTATTCACAACAGCAATGCTAAAGAACCTCTTGCTTCTAATCACAAGAATTAAAGAAGGGTCAGGGTGGATCCTCAAACACCTAGGGGATTCTAAGAAAGGGGCAATGCTCATGTAATGAGACTTTGCTCAGTGTAATCAGTTCAAGGGGAGAACTGCAGACCCCCCTTTCTCAGTTACTTCCTTGACATTTCCCAGGGGGTACTTACTGACTGCCTCTTTCTGGTTCTCCATTAACAACTGTTGATGGAAAAACCAAAACCTTCAAAGGCTGTGTGGGTTGGGGGAGAGATGTCAAATAGCAATTTAACTTTAATAGAAGCTTATGGTTTGAAATCATTAAAAAATAACTAAAACTTCTGTTTTCCAATATCACTATTTCACAATTTAAGTGAAATACGTAACTACCAAATATTATAGATGCAAAAGTGCACAGCAATTGTAATAGCTTTATGAGGAAAGAAATAAACCTGGTAAAGTACAGATGGTCCCTGATGTACCAAGGTTGACCTATCACTGGGAGAAATAAATACCCATTCAGTACATTCCTTGATTTGCAATGGATTATATCTGGATACACCTATTGTAAATAAAAATGACTTACAGGTTGGCTGCAGTGGCTTATGTCTGTAATCCCAGTACTTTGGGAGGCCAAGGCAGGTGGATCACGTGAGATCAAGACCAGCCTGGCCAACGTGGTGAAACCCCATCTCTACTAAAAACACAAAAATTAGCTGGGTGTAGTGGCATAAGCCTGTAGTTGTAACTACTTGAGAGGCTGAGGCAGGAGAATCAGTTTAATCTGGGAGGTGGAGGGAGGTTGCAGTGAGCTGAGATCACATCACTGTACACCAGCCTGGTCGACAGAGTGAGACTCCGTTTCAAAAAACAAACTCCGTTTCTTTTTGTTTGACTTACAAAAAGAAAAGGACTTACATTTTTCAACTTAACAATATTTCAACATTTTCAACTTAGGTTTTTTTCCCAAATGCAGCCCGTCTTAAGTTGAAAAGCATCTGTATACATTTAACGTATATGACACAATGTACAGATGACAATTTATTTCAGAAATGTTAAAATGTGAGAGGAAATACGTAGGTCTTATAATATGATAGTTTGCTCTAGATCTGTTCCAAATAGACAAGAACTAATTATACAGAGAAGTAATGAGATAAAACTGTTCTGACAAGTTTTGCCAGATAGGATAAACTTACCAAGTTTCAATCTTAGCTTCAACTAGTTAAGCTCAGAAAAGATACCTACATTTCAGTGGCCAATAAGCAAACTCAGCCAAACAAGATTAAGTTGCACTCATAAGTCAAAAACAGCAGCTCTCATATCAAGTATTCTCCATCCTAGGAGCAGTCAGCTCTCAACAGAGCTTGAAGTATTATATTCAATACCATTAACCAGGTAACTCAGCCAACATTCCAGAGGAGCCCACAGTTAAATGAAAATCTTTGTTTTAAAAAAACACGTTTAAAAAAACACATTACAACATGTTATGTATATTTTACCAAAATAAAGAAAAAAAGTACATTACAAGTTGCTAAAACAATTCAATACAGCAGTCCCATCACACCTCTAAGCCTCTTACAATTCAACTGTAAAACCGAGAGGAGGGGTTATTTACATAGAATACAATGTGGATAGTGCCTCCAGGAGTTGTGGAAACTTTGCCTATACAGCATTTGTAAATGAGAAGTAAACGTTCAGGAGTTAATCACAACCAAATTCCTCTAATTTCATTCAGAGCCTCGTGTTAAGCCTTCATAAACCTTCATCCTGGGAGAGGAAAACCTGTCTGAAGGTGTCAACATGTCATGCAAATACAGCTAAAGTTTTGCATTCTGTGGTACCACTGACCAGCCTCTTCTGCCAGAGCCATGCAAAAACAAAAAGCTAAGAGCTTAATAAACAGCTTTCCCAAGAAAAAACAAGTAAACAAATTGTTTTGAATTAGATATTCCTGCGATCTGCTTTTGCTTGTGAAGGGAGGGACAGCAGGGGCTGGAAGGAGACAGGTATTCTTAGCAGTAGACATCTAGGTCATGTTAAATCCCTTGTTGTTTTGTTCTAGGTATCTCCCTTTTCTTTCTCCTAAAATGAAAGACTATTATCAAGGGTCAAGCCTTAAATTAAAAAAAAAAATTATCTTCAATACTATTCCCACACACCTAGGAACTACAGTAAATATGAAACATGCTGAAGTAGCCAAAAGCTATGCAAAACCAAACTATCATGGATTTAGTATGCATTCTATGCAATGATGGAGCCAGGATAGATGTTGCCTCAGTGTGTACATTAAAACAGCAAGTCTAAGAAAATACTCTTCATACATTTAATTAAATATCAGTTTAAGTTTTATTAGGAAGACAATAAAATCTTGAGGTTATGTTTACTTCCCCCCCCAAAAAAATTAGGCCATGCACAGTGTCTTGCGCCTGTGAGCCCAATACTTTGGAAAGCCAAGGTGGGAAGGTTGCTTGAGCCCAGGAGTTCCAGACTAACCTGGGCAAAATAGCAAGACCTCATCTCTGCAAAAAATAATTAGCTATGTGTGGTGGTGTGTGCCTGTAGTCCCAACTACGTGGGAGGCTGAGGAAGGAGAATTGCTTGAGCCCAGGAATTCCAAGCTGCAGTGAGCCATGATCAT